CGTACCGCGTGCACGTCCAGGGTGTCCACGCTGAGGTCGTAGGCCGTGAGGTTCATGGTCTCGAAGACCTCCTTGAGCGTCTGCTCCTTGCCCTGCTCCACGTGCACGATCTCGTCCAGGTGCCTCTTCATGGCCCTCTTGATGAAGCGCAGGAGGTGCTTCTGGTTCATGCAGGACGAGGCGTGGATGTGGGTGTCCACCTGCGGGCGAGGCGCGGCCGTGGCTGGGGGATGAGTCCACCCCAGTGAGACCCCAGAGAGTTCACTGAGAGAGCCTGGGGTCTCCAGAGAGCCCCTCGACATCTACGGGGTTTGTTCTGTTCTGCTTGTTGGACCAAAACTTAGAAGAGTGTTAGAGGGGATTGCCAGCAGGCCTGGGGGTGATGAATGAGGACACAGGAAGATAAGGTGGACACTGGAACAGGAGGAATAGGCCTGGAGCCAGGGCTTTCTCCAAGCTGGTTAAGGACAAAGGAGAGGTAAAAGGGTCACGGTGATGAAGAGGAGAGACCCCAGAGCCGTGATGAAGGACAGGAGGTACCCCCAGAACTGAGTGCCAAAGAGAAGCACTGCCCCAAGCTCCACCTCCACTCCTCCTGTTATTGATGTGTAAAGATGTCTGTTGTAATCACATGAACATGTATTTAATTGTTGGATTCCAAAAACTGGAGATGAGAAAAACTGCTAAGTTTAAACAAAGCCTCGGGCTGACAGAGACCGGGGAAAAACCTCAATCCAAAGTCCAGACAAGGATCCATGGATGTCATGAGCTCAGAACGTCCTGCCCAAGCCTGGAGAAACCATGCCCTGATCTCATCAAACCTGTGCAGAAACCCCTTGGTGTTTTATCTCTCCCTCTGTGTTACCTGTTCCCCCTGTAAATCCCCCAAAGTGGGGTTTTTCCCACCAGGTGATTCCTAAGAACCCCAGATGTGTTAACCTGGGTTTTCCCCTCACCTCATCTCTGTGAAACCCCCCAATTTTCATACCATGAATATGCAAGCCCCCTGTTGAACACGTAAACCATGAACCCCTTACAGATGAAGCTGTGAATCCAATAAACCATTCCAGTTCCTGCCCCCAAACCGGGCTCGTGGCAGTTATTGACCTCTGCATTTCATCACCTGTGAGGAGTGTAGGAACCCCCTGAGCTTGTGGGAACCCTTTAGCAGGTTCTCTGTGGTGTGACCCAGCCTGTTCCCAGTGCTGACAACAAACACCTTTGCTGCTCACAGATCCCAAAGTCTCTGAGCAGTCCTTTACACTGGATTTTTCAGAATCATCAGCCTGGAGGCCCCCTGGATCCCCGGGACAAACCAGGACCCCCCCCTGCAGTGTGACACTTTCAGTCTAGGCCTTCCTGGAGACCAGGCTGTAACCAGGGAAGTGCCCTGTGTTCCCAGTATTCCGTGCTGTTCTCTACGTAAGCAGAGGTACAAATAAGAAGGAAAGAGAAGGCTCTGCCTCCTTCTCCTCTGGTGAATCTGAAAACACAAGTTCTCCACTGCCAACCCTGCTCGTGTGAAGAAGTGAGGCCTCGAAAACCTTAAAAAGCAAAAAGTACCGAGGGTACCTAACACAACTCTACTGTCTCAAGGGGAATAATAAGATTTTCTTTTGCTAATTCTTTATTGATTATACACACCTACTTTGAATTTCTTTTGCGTTTTTGCCCCTTTTCCCTTTCCCTTCCCCTTTGGGAGGGGTTATTTAGGATTCTCCTCTGTATATACACAATATTATAACCCTATATAACTGCGATATATGTAAATATATATATTTCGTTATAACTCAGTTGATTTCAAGTCTTTCAATTTCTATAATTTTTTTTTCCTTTACCCGAAGGGGGAGGAGAAGTTTTTGCTGCAATCTAGGGAAACTTGACAAGAAACCAACCCCAAACAACCCCCCCCCACGGGTACCTTGCGGATGTTGTAGAAGTCGCGGTGGGGAACCTTCTTCTGGGCCGCCAGCTCCTTCATCTCGTTGAGCAGCACGTGCATCTGGAACTTGCTGCTCAGGTACTGCAGCCGCCGGTAGCAGAAGGATTTGCTGCCCGGGTTTAATTTGGGGAGGGGAGGGAGGGGTCAGTTTGGGGCTGGGGAGGGAGAAAGGCCGGTGCCCACCGGGGTGAGGGGACACGGTGCCCGGGGTGGGTGTGGGGGATG